AATTCTGAGATTAAAGTTAGAATTCTGAGAAAAAAGTCAGAATTCTGACTTTAATCTCAGAATTGTGACTTTTTTTTCTCAGAATTCTGACTTTAATCTCAGAATTCTGACGTTTTTCTCAGAATTCTGACTTTAATCTCAGAATTCAGACTATTGTCTGAGATTAAAGTCAGAATTCTGAGAAAAAAGTCAGAATTCTGAGATCAAAGTCAGAATTCTGACTTTAATCTCAGACAATAGTCTGAATTCTGAGATTAAAGTCAGAATTCTGAGATTAAAGTCAGAATTCTGAGATTAAAGTCAGAATCCCCCCCCCCCCCCCCCCCCCCCCCCCCCTCTTGCTGATGAGTAGTCCAATTTGCAGCTTCAACAGGCTGGCTCCACCCCTTCTCCACCTCTGACTGGAGCAGCCGGCACTGAGGTGACTCAAAAAACAAACAAAGATTAAATCAAGCAGAACATAACAGTGTAAACAAAAAATGTGCGCACTTATTCCAAAATACAGTTTTATGCCTTTCCTTACAAAAATTCTGTAAATTAAATCCTAAACTTAAAGAAATCCCAATATAAATGTAATGAGACTGGCTGACCTATTGTGTGATGTGATTAAATGTTACCGCATTTGGGTGGCTGTAGTTGCATCACACCCCAGTTTTTATATAAATAAAACAGCGTTGTAGGAATGACCTTGAGGGCTGCAATAATAAAACCAGATATAATGAACAAGTTTTGTTTTATGGGTTTGGAATGTAAAGCTCTACTGAGGAGGATGTAATAAACATTCTGCTAGTAAGCCCTGTAAGAATTAGTATATTTAGCAAACATTGCTAATACTAATTGGGACAACAAAATGTTATCAATAATGGACTGAGAAGCTTTCAGTTGGCTTTAAAATGCGTTTTGGAGTAATTAATAAATTGATTTATTGAAATAAACCGGTGCAGGTTCCTACCCTAATGTTAACCCTTTATAGAGCAAGTTATCATTTTTGATCACTTGCATACCCGTCACAAATGGTACAATATCTACATCCAGCAGTTCAGCAAAGCTACTGCTGCATGGCTGTACATCTTATTTTGGCATTTGTCCAATCAGAATAGAATTTATTTATTTATTTTAATTTTTTTTCCTACTTGCTTTGATTCTGTTTTATTTTCCTATATTTTAATCATGTAAAGCGCTTTGCATTGTCTTTGTACTGAATTGTGCTATACAAATAAATTTGCCTTGCCTTGCCTTGCCTTGAATGATATACTGTATTAACTACTGTAAAATAAGTTGTAAAAAAGTTAAGTCAAGAAAAAAAGGTAAGAAGCTAATTGAAAAGTTAAAAAGTTTATAAGCCTAAAAATTATATTTAGGTTTATAAACTAGAAAATGTAAGTGTCAGTATCAGCACTAATGCCTCTAAGGTTATGTTGTACCAAAAAAAATTGTTTCTTTCACTCTCAGAGTGTTTTTCATGAATTTCTCATAGAAGCACTATTCTTGTTTTTCTTAATATATGTGGGCAAGTTGGAGTTTCTTGTTATTACATTGAAATTAATTTTTGAAATCAAAATATCCATATTTTTTTAATGTTACAAAGGTAATAAGGTCTTGTCCTGGATTCCAATAACATTATTGCCTTGAAATTTTGATTTTCATAGTATTTCTCTAAATGCCTATAAAGGGTTAACCTGGAAAATCATGTAATTATTTTAAAATAAGCTACTACTTGGGTCAAAGGTTACACAGTTTTGATTTAAAGTGAGAAAGAAGGCTTTTTTAAAATTAAGGAGTAGAAGGAATAGATAATTGCATTAAAATGTGAGTGGTAGAAGAAAAAAGTAAAAAAAATAACTATTACAGGTAACAGAGAATTTGTATTTATACTTAATTACTTGACACCTCTTGTTACTAGGTAGGCAGAGTGTCAGAGGAAGACTATATTAGCAAAGGTTAGCAAGGTTTTAAAAAAGCGGCAAGGCAGCAGGAACAGGCAGGATTTCTCTCAATACGCTTTTTCTCTCTTAACATTTTTTAAAATGTCACGGTGGACACATCTCTTAAATGTCAAACTGAGGACTGGGAAAACATGGATGAGGGTTCCAATCAACGCTGCACTTTATCATTATGACTATGGTTCTTCACATGTATAAGATGAAGATCTGCCTGCACTGATATGAATGTTAGATAGTTATCATCACTTCCATGCGTTCAGGCTATGGATGCCTGGGATGTATTTGGTAACATTTGTTTCAAATTCAGAAAAAGAAAAACTAAGGAAATATTTCCAAAACACAATGTCTCAGTAATCACAGACTAAGCTTATTTTTTTGTGAATCCCATGGCAAGAGGAATGTACCACTTTCAAATGACATCAAATACTTTTTTTTATGTATCCCATATTACGTTATCGTTTAGATGGCTTTCATTGCATTATTATTGGTCATTGCATGTTTTCCAAGTGTTTTTCAGCGGAAGTTATCTCATCAGATTTTGTATTTCCTCCAGTTAGGAATTAAATGTCTCAATAAATGTCTATAGCTGTCTATGAACCAGAGCTGTACAGTTTTCACTACAGCCTCTTATTGGTATAAATGGACTCTTTTATCTACGATCTTGTTAAAGTCGTAGGGTAATGGCTGTTCCAACCGTTGCAGTTCTGAATTCTCCCGAGTGGTGCACAACTGTACACGAGTGAATAAAGTGAATGTGATTGGTCGTTTATCAAGAGGGCGGGATTGTTGTGGCGGAAGGTTCGCAAGCAAGTTTGATTGTGGCCGGTTTGTCCGAACCATTTTGCTAACCAGTTAGCAACTTAGTGCTAGTAGGTTCCCAATGGGAAATTCCATTGGAACCAAGTAGCACTAAATTGGTGACTTAGAAACGACACTGTCAAGGAACGCTATGGACAGAGGAAACATGCAAGAGGAGGAAAGTTTAGTGTCGGAGGTCGTGGATGAGTCTCCTCCGTCATACATTTTATATTTAGAGGAGGAAAGTGGGAGGAAGATGTTGTGGAAGAGGACGCCAAGGCGGCAAAAGCTTGGTTTGTTGTTACAGCCGTACATGTTTAAGCCCTTGCCTCGCAACGCTGCCAGTTCTGTTAGCTCTACGCCTGCTGAAGACAGAGGCTGCGTCTCAATTCGCAGGCTGCGTACTTCCGAGGACGCAGCCTACCTAGCCTCCGGAGGACCCAGCCTCGGTAGGCTGCTCCGGAGGATCCTCAGCCGTTGGTAAATGGGACGGTCTAGCCTTTGGAGCACTTCCTGGTTACGTCATGACGTCATCACGTCTACACAAAGCCCGGGAAAAACCGCGCCATTAATCAGACGATTGACGATTGATTGATTCAGGCATAGCAAAATGGAAACTGCAATTTTTATTTTATTTTATTTTATTTACCTGATGTTGGAGGAGTAGAGTCAGATTCGGCGGCAGAAAAAACGGCAACAAATATATTTGAGGCTGGCAGAGCGCAGTGGAGAGGTAACATTTACCTTTATTATTTTCCCCCACTAGGGTCTGCTAATGATCAGAATATACCAGTTATTTATCAAACACTTGTCAGCAGATTAATGAATATCATTAAATATCAAATTTTAAATATATATTTATAAGACTTGGTATAAGCTTGTTTGTAACTTTAGTAATTTGAATTGAATAGTTAAATGTTTACAATCCCTGTAAATAACTGACTTAAATCACCACTTTCACTATCACTAAGGTTGTGTGGAGAAGGCAAACTGTATTAACATGGCAGCCGTCGATTGGGTCAGCCCTTCAAACCCTGATGGACGATGTGGTGAACAGTGGAGAGAGGCATCCCCCCCACCCCCCAGATGATGTCCCACTCGCAGTCAGAAGACTCCAAGCTCATCTGTGTGGCATCCCATCCAGTCCAGCAGCACCACCAGGGACTCCTTCTCAGTCGAAATTGTATATATATGTTCTTTTACATCTTCTGTAAATAGTAGTTAAAATTTACTGTAAATAGTTTAAAATATTTTTAATAGTTTATTATAATTGCATCTCAAAAAATAAATTGATGTTGTAACTGAGAAGTTGTTCTACGTTTACTTAAATTGTCAATAAGTGATGAAACAGATGATGTAAAAAGGTTAAAAGACTTTAAGAACACACCGACGACAATAATTTTGATAAACAATTTAATAATTTAATTTAATAACAGCAACACATAACTTGAACTTGTAAACACAGCAACAACCAAAAAAAAGAACACACCAACAAAAATGAACGTCTGTCCACCATCCTCTCCAATAAAGTAAACAGTCTGTCCATCCTTTCCCGGCTCTCTCTTTCACTTCTCTCCTCCGCCTCCCTCTGCCTTCTCATATCCTCCCTGATCAATTCAAGCAACTCGTCACTCCTCCTTCTTCTCTTCCTCCTTTCCCTCCTCTCTCCTGGCCTCTCATCCTCACTCTCTTCCACGTCATCGCCTTGATGCTGCCCAGCCTCTGCAGCACCTGGCCCTGGTGTGTCCTCAGGGATGGAGGCAATTAGGACAGGTGGGGCAACAGAGGGCCTCTGTCCTAATACCTCATCCATGAGGACAAACCAGGGCCAGGTGGCAGCAGTAGGCTTCCCACTGACACCCTGCCCTGTCCCTGGATCTTTGCACTCCTATAGTAGAGGAAAACAATTTTTGTCAACAGATGCAATTTTATGTAGTGTTTCTTTAAAGCTAGAAAAAAGGAATGTTTCATGATTTGGATAGATTAATGACATTCTACAGAAAAAGAGACGACTTTGGAATAATAACTTTGAGATGACTTTTTTCAAGCTAATTCAAAGTGTAAATGAACCTGAATATATTATATGTAAGATGTCATTTCCCTACACATTTACACACACATCTATATATATATATATATATATATATATATATATATATATATATATATATATATATATATATATATATGTGTGTATTTCATTACGTTATCCAAACCTGAACATACTTTGTATTTTTTTTAGGTTTTCCCCTTTTTTTTGGCCTGTTGTGGCTCAACTTTTCCCTCCAGGCCCATTTTCTGCAGGATTGTTCTAAACAAGAGAAATGAGAAGAGATAAACACACTAGGATCACTTCTATCACAAATATAAGATTGATAAAAAGGGGCATCTGGGCATCATATCATGTGATCAAAAGATTATATTTGTACGTTGGTGTTTGAACAGGACTTCTTTTATCATGTGTGACTTTTACATAGAAATGCAACATGTAGATGGAATTATGCCTCAACTCTTACCTCCAACCAACTGCTGCAGTATTTTTGGCGCCGGTAAAAAGGTGGTCATTTTGCCCACGGAGTTTGATCAACTCCTCTGTCTGCTCCCTGCTCCCTGGAACAAAATGACATGTAAAGCATATTTCTGATAAGTCAACATGCAAAATGACTATTCTGTATAATTACACCGGCATTGTTCTTCAAGTGAATTATACTTTAAACCTTATTTTACTGTACTGTAAAATAACTATACATTATTGAGTATTAAAACAAAATGTTTACAGTATTAACAGCCCAGTACAGCTGGACTCATGTTATTTCTTCAGCTGCATTAAGCTTTGACAGTTCTAATCCTGTGTAATAAACTGTATGAGAATAAATAATTCCGATTAGTGAGGGCTATCAGCAAAGTTACAAGATGTAGGTTAATAATTGTGACATTTTTATGAAGGCTTTCAATTGTTGTTGAGCGTCTCGTATCAACAGGTTAGCTTTAAGCTTTAGCTTTAGCTGGTCTACACATCCCGGTGGCTCCGTTACCGTCATGTATTTTAATACATGTTCAGTAAAATAAAACAAAAATAATACTCACATTTAAAAGTGTACTCCATCTTACTACTGCCGCCGCTGCTACTGCTTTCCATTTTTTCCGCCTTTTTTTTCTCTCTTCTTCTTCTTCTTCTTTTTCTTCAACTAAAAAAAAAAAAAAAAAAAAAAAAAAGCGCGCAAAGCACCTCGGGAAATCTAGTGGGAGGCGAGGCCACTAAGGACGGTAGCGATGCATCCTCAGAATTCGGGGAAAAGGAGGACGCATTTTGAGGCTGCATTTTAAGCGTCCTCAGAATTTTTGCCAAATGGGACGGCCTCCGCGCAGCGTTGTGACGTCACCGGCCTCAAAATGCGTCCTACCAAGTATGCAGCCTGCGAATTGAGACGCAGCCACAGACGTCCATCAACACTGGGACGGAACTCAATGGGAAAGGAAATGATTCTTATTTCTTATTTCAACCGTTGTGTATATTAGCTGGGACATACACTATATTGCCAAAAGTATTTGCTCACCTGCCTTGACTCACATATGAGCTTAAGTGACATCCCGTTCCTAATCCATAGGGTTCAATATGACGTCGGTCCACCCTTTGCAGCTAGAACAGCTTCAACTCTTCTGGGAAGGCTGTCCACAAGGTTTAGGAGTGTGTTTATGGGAATTTTTGACCATTCTTCCAGAAGCGCATTTGTGAGGTCGCACACTGATGTTGGACGAGAAGGCCTGGCTCTCAGTCTCCGCTCTAATTCATCCCAAAGGTGTTCTATCGGGTTGAGGTCAGGACTCTGTGCAGGCCAGTCAAGTTCATCCACACCAGACTCTGTCATCCATGTCTTTATGGACCTTGCTTTGTGCACTGGTGCACAGTCATGTTGGAAGAGGAAGGGGCCAGCTCCAAACTGTTCCCACAAAGTTGGGAGCATGGAATTGTCCAAAATGTCTTGGTATGCTGAAGCATTCAGAGTTCCTTTCACTGGAACTAAGGGGCCAAGCCCAGCTCCTGAAAAACAACCCCACACCATAATCCCCCCTCCACCAAACTTTACACTTGGCACAATGCAGTCAGACAAGTACCGTTCTCCTGGCAACCGCCAAACCCAGACCCGTCCATCAGATTGCCAGATGGAGAAGCGCGATTCGTCACTCCAGAGAACGCGTCTCCACTGCTCTAGAGTCCAGTGGCGGCGTGCTTTACACCACCGCATCCGACGCTTTGCATTGCACTTGGTGATGTATGGCTTGGATGCAGCTGCTCGACCATGGAAACCCATTCCATGAAGCTCTCTGCGCACTGTTCTTGAGCTAATCTGAAGGCCACATGAAGTTTGGAGGTCTGTAGTGATTGACTCTGCAGAAAGTTGGCGACCTCTTCGCACTATGCGCGTCAGCATCCGCTGACCCCGCTCCGTCAGTTTACGTGGCCTACCACTTCGTGGCTGAGTTGCTGTCGTTCCCAAACACTTCCATTTTCTTATAATACAGCTGACAGTTGACTGTGGAATATTTAGGAGCGAGGAAATTTCACGACTGGATTTGTTGCACAGGTGGCATCCTATCACAGTTCCACGCTGGAATTCACTGAGCTCCTGAGAGCGACCCATTCTTTCACAAATGTTTGTAAAAACAGTCTGCATGCCTAGGTGCTTGAATTTATACACCTGTGGCCATGGAAGTGATTGGAACACCTGATTCCAATAATTTGGATGGGTGAGCAAATACTTTTGGCAATATAGTGTATGAATCAGGATGCTATGACCAAAAAAACAAAGATTGACAGATGGACGTTGATATATGATTGGCCAAATTTAGGTGTTCAGGCTGACGCATAACTGACTGTCCTGAACAAAATAGCCAAAAAAAAAACACAGATTTTAAGATGGGATTTTTTTTTTAGAATGAAAATTATTTGACATTTAAATATGATTCCCCTCCAACTTTAAAGGAGGAGGAAAAGAACTGAAAAGGAAGAAATTAATTCTTCCTCAAATATTCATTCAGTTTTTGTTCATTTTTTGACCAATCAATAGTAAAAAAAAAAAAGATCCATACAGAAAAAAGTAGATTTCTGTTCACTTCATTTCTGAGACAAAACAAGGCTGTTTGACCTTTCCTACTTGTAATCTGACCCCCTGTCTTCTTCATCTGTTATATATTTTTGACTGGAAGGAATATTGTTTACGTCTAAATGCAGAGTCAGCTCAGGTTGAGGAATGTGGACTGCTCATAGATGTCCTCAGAGATTCCTGATGGATGCTGCAAAGAAGGGAGTGATAACAAAATGTAGGCCTCAGTCCGATGGAGAAGAGCTTCCTCTTTAGGGTTCTGGAGAAACAAATCAGACTTTATGCTTAAAATGGAACGGTGGACCATATTTTTTTTTACCAGTCTTGTAGTTCTGAATTTTTGTGTTTGAGGTTTGTGGTTTGAGAATAACTTTCTCTTTCTCAGATTTGGTTTATAAATATTTTTTTCTTTTTTTTACATTCACTCTGTCAAATTGTATTTTTTAAGATTTATATTTTCAATTTCCTTTTTCTTCAAGAACATAACTGTATTAAAATGAGATGTTTTAATTTCTTGTCTTTAAATTTTAGTTTTTCAGATTGCCCCCCCAAACACCCGGCCTTATTTAGACGTCAGTTTTTAGGCTAAATCTGGTCGGTCGTCATAGTCTGGATTTAGTCATTGTTGAAAATTGGGCTGCGGTTGGTTGATCTGATTTTGTCCCACTTTATTCCAGTAATAGACGTTAAAAAGACATTTTTCAAATCTTTTTATTTATTTTTTTATCATTTCTGCAATCTGAAAGTTAGGCTTTCACTTTTCAACCAAATGTAGATGTTGTTTGGATGTAATTCATGTCAATATTTGCTTGTCGGGTGAGTTTAACTAATCACAATCATTTCAAATTACACACTGGAAAAAATATGTTTCTCAAATAAAAAAAAATATGTCCAGATATTACATCTTAAATATTTGACTTCACAGAATCTGAATTTAATAATTTGTTATGACCTGATTATTTTAAGTTGATGTAAACAATATTACTGCACTCGACCCGACTTTAAATCTTTGCCCTGTTCCAAATAATTTTCTGAACATTTCAGTTGATGAACCAACGTAATATATTGAAATTATACCACCCTAATGTACAAACTTTTAACTAAATAAATATGAACTAATGTTCATATTGACACCAGTTAATTAATTTAAACATAACCAAATCGGCAAGTGGTAGCAGTTAGCATCTGTCGCTAACACGCTCGCCACAACAGCCCTCCTGCTCTTTATAACATGACATTGGAGGCTCCGCTGCCAGTGACGGCCGGGTATCCAGTATTTAACTCGAATAAAACTCTAAACTGTACCTTCAAGCAATGTTTGCTTATGTTAGCCGAGGACTCTCGGCTAGCTAACGTTAGCGATTCATTGTCATCACATTATCCGTAAATGCATGAAACCTTTCAGACGTCAGCTAGTTAATATTAGCTAGTTAACTGGTTAGCTATTACATTGGTTATATGTAACTGCTTTGCTGCTTATGTTTATTTATGGGCGATTCACATGTGACTCAAACAACAACAAAAATACCTGCAGGTCATGAATAAATATATACATATTGAGAGAAATCAAAAACTTTGTTTTGGGTCCTTACATGTAATCAAACTCGATGTCTTAAAATAAAAAAAGAATGAGTTATACAATCAACTCAATAATTTTATCCAGTTTACAGTGGCAGTCATTAGTTTGAGTAAACAGCTATATGCTAATTGTTTTTCATTGCAAAGCTCTACACTTCGAGCCGAATACAAACGTTCATTATTTACTCACACATTGACAAAAATGTTGCTAACTTCCATGCAGACTAACAGAATTGCGCCATTGCTCCTCACCCTAGAGGAAAGCCCGCCAAGGGAAGTGAGGAGAATAGAAATGGAAAACAGAGTTTGTGAGGAGCGCAGTCTGTAAAACTCAATCTGAAAATGGGAAATACCAAAAAATAAGACTGAAAACATTGCATTTGTAAAAATCGATTTAAGATCAGAGAAAACAGAAATAACTCCTACAACCATTATTTACAGTTTTCACAAGTTTCATTTCTGAATTGCAGTTTTTTCAAATGGTCATTTAGAAAACATGTTCTTCATTTGCAACAAAATTTAACTAAATTCACTCCATAAAGTGGAAGATGGATAAAGGGTTTCCGGTCTGCAGTAATGAGGGTGCAGCTTTGGACCGTTCATTATGTCGAAGAATTTTCTCAGCCAAATAACAAAGCTTCTGATTTGCCTCTCTGTCATTCGGGGTTCATATGCAGAGGTGCAGTAATGCTCCGGTCTGTAACGGTAAAGAAAGAGACAATCCAAAAGGTCAAACTCTATTTTTTTCTTTTCTGTCTCTCACCTTTGGTTAAAAGAATCATGACCCAAGGTCAAGATAGAAGCAGCCGATTCAAGTTTCGTCTGTAGGTTGGATGAGCCTCAGAGAGCGGAGGAGCCTGAAGTACAGCTGCTGCTTCTCTGTATTAAAAGGAGTCACTGGTTTGGGAATCTTATCAGGATTCCTCCTGGGCTTTTCCTCTTGTTAGGTTTTTCCAGGCGTGTCCCACTGAGATAAGGCCCCAGGATAGACCTAGATTTTTCAGACAGCTTAATCTCTCCTGCCGGAGCTCCTTAAGGTGCCTCGGGTTAAGCTGAAGAGTGTTTTTCTTAGGAAAGCTATGTTTGAGGTTATAATTCTAAACCTGCGTACCTTTCTGTATTTAATTTATGAGGGAATTGGATTTTAACAGTGTGCATAAAAGCAATTCAATTTATATAACGCCAATTCACAACACGTCATCTCAAGTCCCTTTACAGTTCACCGGATCATACAGTCAAATTAATTCCAAGTTTTCTATCTAAGGAAAACTAGTTGATTGCATCGACTCATTCACTCTTCAGCAATCCCTCACACTAAGCATGCTTGTCGTATATAAGTAATAAACCTGCTGAATAATGTTAGGATAAAATTTAAACCAGGGATTCCCAAACATTTCAGCCCTTGACCCCAAAAATAATAATGCAACAGACTGCTG